ATTCACGCGGATGAAGCCGCATGAGAACAGCTAGTTATCTTGATAAACAATAACAATTTAATAATGCATTATACGGATATATTCCCGCCGACAACAAGAACTGTTTATAGAATCCAATATAATCTAAAATAGGGAAATGAAACTTTAAATAAATTAGTCATAATATTTTTGTAGTGCACGTCGCATCTGGGTCGCATGATCGATTGTAGTGTGTTTTATCAACATCCTTTTAAATCTGATGTAAATGTTCAAAAGATAGCCTATAATATAGGATTGTAGTGTAAAGGCTTATACTACTAAATAAATACAATTGAAATAAGAGACGACGACGTTATGAAAAATGTCATTTCAGAATTTAATAAATTCAATGAATTATCTGAAGTCAACTCTAAAACTCCCCGATGATGAATTAAACCTCAAATCTGTGACTCAGTTGAAAATCTTAATCAGCGCTAAACTATGCAGTTTTATGTCTACTTATATGTAACTTAAGTTGGTCTAACATGTCACATTCATTCACATTTACTATTTATGATCTAAAGCAACTTAACTTAATTTTAATACTTTAAAGTTAATTGGAAGTATTAAGTATAGCTATAGAATTTTAATTAAGAACATGCTTATTTAAAAATGTACTTGAATACATAGAGCGGAAAAGCCGATTTTTTTTTTAAATCTTAACTTAAAAATAATGATAACATCCTTATTTTATCACAATATTAATTATCAACCTTATCAATAAGTGAAACAGTAAAAAAGATAGAAGTTCAGATAAGGTATTTAATTCAATACAGAAACATTGAACGTATCGATTTCTAGTATGCGAGCTTAGATCGTAATTGAATATTAAATCAGGCTAGTGCTTATTATGAAGTTATTCTCGTTGGTATTTGGCACAGGGTCCGAATGAATCGGCCGAGTCGTCAACCGTCCGCGCCCGCCCCGAAGGCCTGCGGGTTTCACGGCTCCTAACAAAGATGTGATACCAAGACGTACAAATAGGCAGAAAATGTAATTTGTCATTAATTTCTGTAGTAAATTCAGTAAATATCAAATTGTATTTCGATATCTTCATAAAGCAAAATTATCATTTATTCATAAGAACGATCAGATCAGAACGAAAGATTTTTTCTAGATTTGATAAAGATTGGACATATTAGGCATTAAACAAATTATGAAATTCTCAATACATATTCACATTTCGCCGGCATTCGCCGCTGTATTTACCTCACCGAGGCGACAAGATACTTGCAGTATGCGGAAGGTAACTTGCAGTCGACAATGTTTAAACACATTTAAAAGTATTTGTTCACTCTCTGCAGTAACAAAAGTGAGATAACGTTACGTGTTTTATTTACAGAAACATAATTAACTCCAATATAAAGCATATTTTTATAGACGGTAACCAAAAGCTTATTGTTTTCAACTATTAATTGATAGTTTTAATACATGTGTATTGCTAAATGGAGACGATCCCGTCTCTAACTTTCTCCTCTACTCAAAAATAGTACATACTTAGAACCTATGATTCATATCGTACTTCACTCAACACTTCATAATATCTACCCCAGTATAACAGTAACGGTACTTATTGTTTAGTATTCACGGAGCCAACACAAGCCTGTACAAAATTGTTGATGCGAAGTACTTCCTACGTCTACACCCAATTCGGTTAAACGATCCACAAAAGTTCCGTTCGAACTAAGAACTATAAATTTCAATTTGATTAACAACCACTGTTTAATAAACAATAGAAGCTTAAATTGAATAGGAAAATTGACATTAACTTTAATCCAATTTGAATAAAAAATAATATTCTATAAAAATATATTGTTATTTTTATAATATTTTAGTCTAGTGTATCAACACTGGATCAACCAAATACACGAAAAACTCAAACATTTAAAAATATCCGTCAAAGTAACATAAAAGATTTCATCAACTTGTAGGCACATGTAACAAGATTTACTCAATCATCTGAAATAATTACTCAATGGTTTGACATTTGGTTGAGGATGCGGCGCTGCAAAGGTCACGGTGTCAAACAGTTCACACGGTTACTGACCCGAACATAAAGCTAATAGAAATGATAAAAAGAAACTAAAGACCTCTATTAAAAATGTAAAAGCAATAGAGCATAAAACCTTCCACTAACTAGTATTAATGAAAAAAAAATTGACATCAATATACTCCAAATGTTTTAAAAGAAATTTACACCATGAAACTTTTATTACAATATTATAAAACGACTAGCTTTCGCCCCTACTCTTAACAAACATCCATCAATCCATCTACTTTCGCAGTTATAATATTACTAGCTTTGGCCCGCGACTGCGTCCGCGTCGTATTGATAATATTAGTAAGATAGAGTTCTTATGATTTAATATAAAGGTATTTAAAACAATTCCAAAGCCATTCACCTTGCAATTCCAATGGGTTACGATAGGCTGCGACTCCGTAAATAGCCACATCTTACTTACCTATATCCATATGCATGCACCGCTCAAGGTCAGAGATTCGCCGGCTAACCGATCTCATGCTTTACATTGCACGATGTTGTTTTAATATTATAACGGATTTCAATCATTTAAAGTAATTCCTCAGAAACAAAGCTTAGAACTACCACTAATTCGCATTGAAATTTGACATTTACAACGTTCTAGTTACGCGAACGAGATAAATGTACAGTTAAGGAATCTGGCGGTGTTTGAAGTTTTTCATTAGAACTTAAAAAATTAAAAGAAAAGCTAATCTTCAAACATATCATTTGTTAATCAGTTTTTTAAGGTCTAAAATGTGGGTACCCATTAAGGGGTACTTACATTACTTACAAGGGTACTGAACTGAATATTATTTTAAAAAACAACTAGTCTCTGTTACCAACTTCATATTCAAGGTTTTTAACAGTCAGTATTTGATTTATTTTACTCATAGTAATAATCTTAAATTTTGCTATACGGATTTAATACAAATAGATACCGTAAAGTATAAAACAAAAATAAAAATCATTAAGTTTTTTCTGAATCGTAGTTTTTCTCTAACCCGGGGTAATTTAACATGAATCCTTTTTATATTAATATTCAGCTTTATATCCTTCTAAAGAATAAACATGATTTTGTTTTCACTTATATCCTTATCTGATTTGTGGCAACGCTCGATTTTCCTTCAACGTATAAACAACCACTATATTTAATAAATAAGGTGAGTGACTCTTCGACACCTACAGATTTCTTCGAGGATTTATGTCATATAATGGTGTATGCCCTTCAACGAAATTGCCAAAAATCAATTGTTGATTCACGATTTTCTTTGAAAATTATATATCAATTTTGTACACTTTATGCTTTATGATTTCCATACATAAAATTTATTAATATATTTAAAACGTAAAATATATGTAGTTAAAAAAATATAAATAAATAACCAACTAAGATAATAAAGAGGAAAGGTCAGTGTTTTCGAATTTTTGGATGTATTGAAATAACTCTAAAACTACTTTACCGATTTTACCGTTATTAAGCTACGATTTTGCTGAGTAACACAGGTTAAGTTTTTTGCTATTTTTAAATTTCGAATGGACGAAGTCGCGAGCAACAGCTAGTGAACGAATAAAAATAGACTAAAAACTTATCAATCACAAAGAAAACAAACATTTAGTACTTTCCGCATTCTAAATATCTAATTTAAATTAATACCAGAAATTATGCAACGGACAGTTTGTTTGTAGCATTATTACAATATATTTTTCTAATTGTTTATTACGAGGTTTTATAATTACAATAACCTCTACCATGGCTCTGTTCATTGTAATTACTTTCGTTATTGAGAAGTACAACTGGCATTGAACTTTATTAACTTAGTTAAAAATCGATTGTACCAAAACATGTGGATTTTTTTTTATTATTATAGGATAAAATTTCCCTCTTCATTTTATTTTAAACTAGCTGTTCTCGTGCGATTTCATCAACATAAAATTATTTTATTGTATACATATGTCAAATTGTCAATTTCAAATGTCAAAATGACATGACATGATGACAACCTTGCTTCCTTGATGTTGGCAGCAACTTATGGTCTCTTTCCCACATTAGGGTTTTTATCCAAAATATTTACCCCTAAGTTTAATAGCGTTAAAATATAAAGCCTAAAGCGTGAAGCAAATGTAGGGCTTTTTATTAAAAAATGAATTATTCAAAAATATGCTGTAATCACTGTCATCTTAGGCAACAAAGAAGTGTGTGTTTACGCTTTATTATAATAGTATAGAGTATAGATTGTTACGTGAGTTTTTCTATTTAAGAATTAATTTTTTTATCCAAGGTTCGTCCCTAACGTATTTATTACAATGTATACAAAATATTATCAGATGTAGCAAAGATACAATAAAACCAGTTTCTTTAAAAAAGCCAAAATTATTAAGCGTTTATACAGTAACTAATTAGTTTTAATTATATCTAAATAATTATACAAAAGATTAGTAAAGCTGACGGTCTTTTATGTATAATTTCCTATGAAATCGCAGCATTTGCATATATGATAATAAAAACAACAAATCCATCGCACTTTTTACAACTACCTGGAGATAATTTAGACCTTTAGTTTAAGGTCATACGAATATTATAAAACAGACTTACAAAGGAAATATACCTTAGTCAATTTAAACTCGAAGCAGGATAAAGTAACAACAAAGATATACTTAGCAAGAAATTAAAATAATGAAAAGGATACTATTTGTAGTGTTTTGTCTTCAAGATTTATCGGCTACACTGGCGTTAGTACAAAAACAGAGAGTTCTAACATATTCTATTCCTGAAAATAGATCCCTCAAAAAGCTTCTGGGTTACAAAGAAGATACGTATCTTAATTTTACAGAACTAACGATTAAATACAACTATTATTGCGAAGAACATAGTGTAATTACTGAAGATGGTTATATTCTAACAGTGTTCCGAATTCCGTCCAAGTGTGAAAAAACTTCAAAACATCTGCCCGTTGTGTTAATGCATGGATTGTATGATAGTTCAGATGCTTGGATTTTGAGCGGTCCAAAAAATGGTCTGGCTTATATTCTTGCTGATAATTGTTACGACGTTTGGGTGCCTAATACCAGAGGGAACAGATATTCCAGAAAGCACGTTTTTTTGGATCCCGATAAAGATATGGAATACTGGAACTTTTCATTCGACGAGCTTGGAAATTTTGATGTTCCTGCAATTATTGACTACATACTTAATGTAACTGGTGAAATGAAACTATTCTATATTGGACATTCTCAAGGTACGACTAACTTTTTTATCATGGCATCATTACGACCGGAATATAACAGAAAGATCTATCTCTCAATTCAACTAGCACCAATTGCTTATTTTAAATATTTCAACAGCCCCATTTTGAAGGTTATTGCTGAATTTTCACCATTGCTAAAAACATACCTTGATACTCTTGGAGTCGGTGAGCTACTAGCAAGACGTCAACTTATACATATACTGATCGAATACATTTGTCAGATGACACCAGAGATTTGTGGCATTGCATTAGGCCTGACTACGGGTTTAGTAAAGAATACAATATCGTCAAATACACTTTCTGTTGTTTCTGGACATCTGCCTGTCGGTGTGTCAGCGAAAACATTAGCTCACTTTGGACAGCTCATATTATCAAAGAAATTTAATCGTTATGACGAAGGTAAAATTGGCAATATCAAAAGATATGGTACAGAAAAAACTCCGGAGTATAACGTTACAAGTATTACATCACCAGTGGTATTAATTTGCAGTCAGAATGACTGGGTGTCATCACTGAAAGATGCTAATGAACTGAGTTCAAGACTAGGAAACTTGGTAGAGACGTATGTTGTACCTAACAACTATTGGAGTCATAATAACCATTTATGGGACAAAAATGCACGTAAATTAGTATTTAAGAAAATACTCGATTATTTCGATAGATACAGAAACAAGAAGAGCTAAATACTTCAAAATTTATATTTTTTAGATTAGTGCTTCAAACCAAATATTATTTTATAAGTCAAAACTAATCATGTTATATTTATTTTTTTGTATATTTTCGAGTGGTGGAATGATATTATTGAATTAATAAAATAAATTTTTTTCGTTCGCTTTTTATTAAAAATAATCCTAGACTCTGAGTAATAATGATGATAACGAATGAAATATACATACATAATACCCGCAAATGCCTTAAGTGGTTTATCTAAACATATCGCAAAAACATCAATTGATTGTTTTTTCAATAGGAGTGATTTTATAAGCCTTTTTTATATCGAAGTAAAAACCCGTTTGATAAAGTTTTGCTAAAGTTAAATTCAAAGTCAAGGTAAAATCCTTCTAGAAACAAATTTTATCATCGATGTAAAAACTATAATTAGATATTATCATATATTCAAGCATCATACTTCATCCTGATATTATAAATTTGAATGTAGGCATGGATGGATATTTGTTAGAGTTTGTAGCCTAAACTGCTGAACGATTCCCGATGAAATTTGGCATAGATGTAAAGGATAGTCTGGAAGAACACATACGTTACTTTTTTTTCCACGCGAACGAAGTCGCGGCAAAAATTCATAAACAATCTTTATCTCGTTATCATCAACTGAACTGCCCTTGTCCCTACCAAGTGTCGACACAGAATACACTGCTCTTCCATAAATGTCTATCAGCTATATGAATTCACTTTCTTCTTAAGCATATCCTGTTTCACACATAAATATCCTCTTTATCTTTTTTTTTCTATTTTATCAAAAGGCATAGTAAAAATAACTATGTAAGTACTCTGTAAGGTGCATTCTTGTTGTCCTTGTATTAAATACAATGCACAATGGGTACTTTACTTCACTTGCTTTTGTTTAAATTTGCCTAAATGCAAATTCTTTACATCTCCAATCCGCAGCGCACTCATTGTATGCATTTTATTGGCATGTTCTTTTAATAATGCAGCGCACGTCCGGCCACTGTATTTCTCGAAGTCGTTTTCAAAATGCCTCTTTTAAAACAACTAAATAATATTAAAATGACTTCGTGTTTTACACAAAATCTTTAGTATACTCTTTTCTTTTCATTTCTTTTTAAGGTATTGATTAAGAAACCCCACTACGTTAGTCCTTTCAGATGCAAATAAAGCATACGATTCCAATCAGTTTGTTCTGTTACAGATTTATCTTTGCTATTTATAAATATAAGCCAAGGCGTTATCATGACTTTAGTGTTGTATGATTGCATCTAATAATGTTACCTATGCTCTCGTACAGGCCAAGGAGTCATGTTGAAACATAGTTTATATCTTAGAGCAATTAGTGTCCATATTTAAATTTATGTCAGTTAAGACACGTGATCTTCTATTGTTCGCACAAGGAGCTTAAAATTGCAGTAAAAATTATTAATAGAAATTATACAAATAAAAAAAAACTATTTAATGTAATCATTTCAAATATGGTAATGGTTACGATGAATAATCAAGTTGTGTAAAATCAGAGATCTTTAACTTTAGACCTGATCTGAATTATCAAATTCGTAATTAATTAAATGTCACACGAACATGTTTGATTGGCTAACGGCGTCTGGCAACACAAACTGAATAGAATTAATATCTCACCTTTATGAATTTTTAAACGGTTATTTTTAAATATTAATATGCTGTTCAAGGTTCTCCACATTGTACCACGTTTGGGTATTGATATAAAAGGCGTTGAGCGTATTTTATTGTGATTCCGTTACAAATACATATATTTAAATTAATAATGTATTTCGCTGGCTAATATGGTTTCGGTGCGTTTTGATGCGTTTGTATTCGGTATTGTAGGCGAACTGAAATAAAATAAATTCCTAAAAGCTCAAGAGTCACGAACAAATTTTATGAATCATAAATTCTTTTCTTCTGATTTTGCTACCAGACGTCCATCATAAGTTGGACATTTAGTTGTGCTTGCTTAGAGCGCGCACACCTTTGACTAAGCTATCGAACAACTGTTTAGTCGCGCTTGGATTCCTATAAGCTTATATGAAGGCTACTTGATTTTAGTTGTGCAAGTAAACAGTTGAAATGGCTGCGACGCAATCGACAATCGCCCAACAGTTTTGCGATACTTCTAATTAAAATTTCAGGAAGTGTTTTTCCAAAAGATTTAGCATAACTAGAGTATATAAATGTTGGCTCGACCGTGGAAACCTGTTTATAGCTTCGTTGTCCCACTGACCTATAACTAGGATATGTGTGGTCGTTTTTTCATGCCATTTAAACGATAGCACCGGTTGACCTTTATCTTTTAGCCTGGTTTTTGATCCTTAAAATACTTTTTAATTATATATTCCATCATGATAAAATACCAGTAAATTTAAATATACAACTACATGATAAGATTTTTTAAGAAGTATTAGAAATTGATATTTCTTCAATAGTTTTAAAATACAATTCCTAACAATGGTATCGAATTACATTAATGCATGTTTTAACATCAACTTATAGGTTTAGATTTCTTAACCTAGTTAAAAATATTTAGGAAAAAAAATTAAAACCACTCCAAAACGTACCTACTCCGCGTAGTATATAGCATTGTGGTGTTATATCGTAGTCAAATATTAACCCACTGTACGTCTTCCTTATACAGGGTGTCCGAGTTACAGCGACACACAAACAGAGACCTACATCGTGTCCCAATGGGTAAAAATGTCATAGTTATATCAGAGCAGTGTAACGGAAGTGGTGTGTGCGTCGCCTAACAATATCGTCCATTGCCCACCGCCTATTGACCTCACAACAATTATTCTAATTTCACACGAAGGCAGTAAATGGTGCAGTACTGCTATTGTTTGAAAGAATATTTACTGTAATAAGACTCGATTGTTTTGTCACACTCGTCTACCTTTATTTGTCCTCGTGTGAAACTAGCATTACACTTGACCTCGCAACGGTGCTTTTAGTCTAATTGAGTACGAACAGGTACAACAAGGTGATCATGAGTCGATTCATTTATTTTCAAGTTGTTTTTATTTAATACTAGCAAGTCGCGTGCGGCTTCATCCGCATGAAATTATAAATTTATTGTTTGCATTTGTCAAATTCTCCATTGCACATGTCAAAATACCTTACTATGGCAATCTTGCTTTTTGATGTTGGCAGCAACTTATGGTCTCTTTCCCACATTAGGGTTTTTATCCAAAATATTTACCCCCTAAGTTTAAGGCGTGAAAATATGTAGCCTAAAGCGTGATGTAGGTGTCGGACTTTTTATTAAAAATAGGATTATTCAAAAATATGCTGTAATTGCTGACATCTTAGGCAACAAAGAAGTGTGTGTTTACGTTTTATTATAATAGTATTGATTCTATGCTCTTTAGCATTAAAAATACTTCGATTCTACAGTGAAAGACAGAGATCATCTGCATTAGCTTTTTTAGTCTCAAATGTTTTCGGCGTTATTATCTAAGTGTAAAACCTACTGTTGTGTTCATTCCCATACAAATCTTACTAATATTATAAATGCGAAAGTTTACATGGATGGATGTTTGTTTAAGTTTGTAGTCTAAACTGCTGAACGGATCTCGATGAAATTTGGAATGGATGTAGAGGAAAGTCTAGAAGAACACATAGGCTACTTAATTTTGTTTTTATTTTTAATTCCGCGCGGACGGAGTCGCAGGCGAAAGCTAGTGTTAAAATAATCCATGAAATTAATTAAAAGAACGCTGTTTTTCATACTATGCTAGTGTCATTACAACAAACATATAATAATATAATTGTTAAGGAAATAATATGAAGGTGTAAAACTGATTTTATAGCTGCATAATCACTTACTTCAGTCTAACTCTTTGTTACAAGTTACGTCTATACTTATTCAATGAGTGCCAACTTGAATAAGAATACATAGTACTGTCGCGATCTTTCAATCTTATGTCACTTGAGAATTTTCAACTATTGCCAATTGCCGTAAAGAAGTTTTCCAACATTTGCTCATCAGTTGGTAAATTTATCAAGAAAACTACTAAGTAATATCTTATTCAGATACTTTGAACATATTAATCGAGTTGTATTGATAAGTATTTTTTATATAGCAGTATTTACATGTGGCGACCTTCCATAAAGTAAAGGGCAACATACTTTAAAATTATCGTAGGCAATACTTAAATGTGCTCAAGTCGTATTAATTATGCCTTTATTGTATGGAAAGGAAAGTGTAAAGCAAAAATCAGTCTTATATTTAAATGGTTTACAAGTAATATCGCAAAGTTATGTAGTTTTCGAGTAAACAGAGGATATAGATGCAAAGCAACTTGTTAGAAAACGTTTAATATGAACGAGATTATGCCAATTCTAGCAGCACCAGTCGCAAAGTGAAATGCCTAGCGAATGCAACGAAAATTACCGCTTTCACCTACACCTGGTCAGATGCGAGCCGCTTGTACATATAATCTTAACTGTTACATTGATAAACCATCTTATATATGCAATTGTATGGGACATTACTTTGTAACAATAGTTTATATGGACATTGACATCAACGCGATATCAAAGATATTAAAAAATTCACGGATCACCCCGATGTTCTCACTGCTCGTTTTACCTCTAAAAATCTCACGAAGTCAATTAATTTGTTTTACAATTCGTAGGAGTCTATCGAAAACAACAATATAAATGATGCCCGTAACCCAGAATGGTAGACAGAGACCATCTCTACCAGAACCTCCACTGGACCCTATCAACACGTCTCTCGCATCTTCTACTTCTGTATAACAGTTTTACTATAACAAAAACTAAAATCTGCTGCAATTGCAGTCAATTATTGTTGATAAGTAATGCCAAGAGTATATGTCAAAACAAGTACCTTGTCAATTGTCAATAAATAATTTTACTTTTACCTTTTAAGTTTAACGTTGCCTTGCATTTTCTATAAAAAAGCTAGTTTACTCTCTATCGTTATGATCGATTAAATGGCCATCGAGAATGCATCTGG